GGCGGGGTTGTGGGAGAAACGTTGGCGAGGAAATGGCGTCCTTGGGTTTGAAGAAGCGGAACCGGGGCGGCGGGGGATGCCATACGTGTTCTGACGTTGGAAATGAATACCAGGGATAGGAGGCAAAGGCTGGGAACGGTGTACTTCATTGTGATCACGACGGCGTCCTTCTTTCTGCTTCTGTTCCTGCAGCCAAGCGGCATCAAGGGCAGTATAGAGCTGCTGAACCGTCCAAGGGGGTATGGCAGCCAAGCTTTGTGTTAAGACACTCTTGGCCCACTCGACTCCAATTACGGCGTCGTGAAGATACTCCGTTTTATCTTGTTCCGATTGGTGCGTGGGAGGACCTTGTGAAGTATACTTTGTGATGGTTTCACGAAGTTCTTCCAAAGCTTCTGACATAGGGATTCGTTTCGTCTCCATAATTCGCGAAAGTCGGAGGTTTTGGAGGAGTTTACGAACCCTATTCTGTCGCGTAAGACTATTAAACTCGTTAACCATGCGTGAAGCGGCTGTGTTAAAGTCTTGCGCGTTTCGGATGACGTGGGAGCGGTAGAATCGCTTAGCTTCTCCATCAAAGACGTTGTGAAAGAATCGAAGCATTTGCTCATCACTGAGGTGAAAATCTTCAGCACAATCACGATAGTTGCTGATTGCATCCTGAATGTCTTCCCCAATTTTCCCGGTATATCGGTCGTCCTTCTTGAATCGGGACGATATGTTGTGCGCAATCTTGGAGTTGGGCGGGTCATGGGACTGGGGGAAAGATTGCTGGCTTCCATGTGTAGAGCCGATGGAGGAGCTGGTGAGACTTTGGTTGGCAAGCATACGGTCTGCATTGTCCTCATAGATCATGTTAACTAGACCGTGAGAAATGCGGTTAGTGGAGGGGTGCGCGGTGTACGACAATCCCTTACAAACTAGGTAGTCTCAGATAAGTCGATAAAACACGGTGGGGCCTCGTAACATCTCCCTTGCGTATAGAACTTCTGGGGGAAGATCAGCACGAAGGTTACTAACACAAACATCTGAGGCAGGTTGTGGATCCGCCATAACATGGAGAGCTATCGTAGCCTTGATATCACATTGGATCATGGATCGGGGGTCATAGTTTGACAAAGCGTCTCGGATACCATTTAGAGTAGCCATATTAAAAATTATTGCAAAATATTAATTAAAATGGATCCGGGCTAAACGCGAATGTTGACCTCGAAAAGTGTTCCTGTAGTAGCGTGGCGAGTGTACTACGTGTAAACGTGTGGTGTTTTGTACCCGTAGTAGTATTTCAGACGTGTGTACGTTCACTAGGGCGGGACGATTACTCGTATAACAGTACTAACACGTGTATACGTGAACCGTGTGTGCGTGTACAATAGTAGTACGCGTGTATGCGTAGTCGGTATGAACACGTGGGCGGGTGTGCGTGCGGGGACACGTGGTTGCGTGTGTGCGCAGTGACACGTGGTTGCGTTTGTGTGCAGTAACACGTGGTTGCGTATGCGCGCAGTAACACGTGGTTTCGTGTGCGCGCAGTTACACGTGGTTGCGTGCACACTGACAGCACGTGTGTGCGTGGCGGGTAGGCACACGTGGGTCCGTGGTGCGCCAAAAAAATTGCTCTAGTAACAAGTGTCCTTTTCAAAAACTTTGAAGTAAAGAAGTTGAAACAATTTCACGTGAGTAAAAAAATTTTAAACTCTAATTATTTGCGAGTAGTGCGCAATTTACGTATGGCACGATGGTGAATAGTGCCACCGTAATGAGCGTCAGCGTCGTGCCCGTTCGCAAATCGGCGGTCGCACACGTGGCAGGTGAGTTTGCGGGTAGGGTACTCTGCGACGTCTACTGCACGTCGGTGAGGCAGACCTGCCTCGTGAGAGCGGTGCTGGCAGTAGCTAAGAAAGCTTCGTGCGCACGGTTGGCAGCGGTAGACGAGGGGCCCACGGCGCGGAGGATTAGCTCGTCGATTAGCGCGCTGCGTTGCGACGCGATATATATGTAGCGCACCACCGGTGTCGAGGTCGAATCCAGGGTCTACGGGCGCGGAGGTGTCCTCGTCCGAGGCTTTAGTAGCCTCGATGTCCACCAAACGAGGCGCTTTGAACAGTGTAGAATGTGATGCGGTGGTTTCGCTGGGGGAGATCTGCGGGGTGACTGAACGGCGGGGAGGAGTAGTGGCCACGTGTTGTAGTTGTGCGGCAAGTGGCGTACTTGGCGGCGAGCGATTCGGCGGCGGTGATGCGGCGGCGGGGAGGGTAGATGGAGGCGAGCGAAACGGCGGCGCGGTTATGGTTGCCTTAATGCGAGCAGCGGCGGCGGCGATGCGGCGTTCCCGAATTACGTCGGGGTGATTG